CAGTGAGACATATTGAACATGTTGAAGATTGTACTAGTTACCACTTAAATATGATTACTTAATAAATTAATTCTCTCATACGCTATCTAACTCGGTTTGCTTTGTGATAGGGGTAAAGACTGGTAGTTAAAAGTTTGCAGGTTAAGCTTCTGTTTAATAAGCTTACATTTGTTATCTATTACAGTCTATACAATATCATAAAAACTAATGTTTTCAGGGCTCAATAATTATAGAGCTGTCAATTAGGGCCAGCCCGACCCTAAAGGATCGACCCTTAAAGGGCTAGGGCCTAAACGAGCTGGCCCTAATAAGCCCGATTGCATATCAAGGTTTTATTTTTTAAAGGCCCGGCCTTAGCCCTCAAGGCTAAAGGGCCGGCCCTCAGGGCCTCGGCCCTATTTTTTTAATTAAAAATTATAAAAAATATATTTATAATCATAAAAAAATTATTATTCATAAAATTAAGTTTAAGAAAATAAATTTAAATCAATTTACACCATAACAATAAAGAAAATTAAAATTTTTAGGTCTAATATCAAATAGCAACATCAAAGTGAATACCAATAAAAATTAAACTTAATTAATATTATCTGCTAAATCTTAATAAATAAATGATGGATGGATGAATGCATTTAATATGTTCATTTCTTTAAGTTATGTATTTAATCTTTTATTTTTTTTTATACAATAATTTTTTAAAAAATTATAAACGGGTCTAAAAGGGCCGGCCCTGGCTCTAAAGGGCCGACCCTTTTATTTTTGGACCTAAAAGGCCCTTTTAGGCCCGATTTACCTTTTTAAAGATAAAATAGAAGCTCGGCTCTCAATTTTTTTGGGTCTAAAAGGGCCGGCCCGGCTCTAAATAATTACCAAACTTAGAAATCATAATTAATTAATGTAAATTCACAATTCATAAAATATTCCAACATAAAAATAATAAGTCAACTATGATGAAAGACTTTATAAAGTTAGATTATGATTATAAAAGCATTCTCCACAACACATATGCTTTAACAACTTTTTTTTTTCAATAATAAAATGAAGAATTATGTTAAAGTCCCATATAAAAAAATTAATTACTATGAGGTCTGTTAATAACTGACATAAGGCAATTTACAACTCAAAAAGTCTCATCCATTTAGAGTACTATTCAAGTGTGGACAATTTGAAAATGGAGACCAAAGTTAGAAAATGATGGAGAAATATCACATTGATTTTAAAAGAATTTTCTCCTCGTGGGAATGCCCATTCCGCAAATTACTACTGATTAATTATATATGACTGTTAAGTAGTCCTTAGTCAACTTGTAATTACATTTAGCAAAAGCAAGAGATTATAATTACAAGAAAACATGTATAGAATGGTAAAAAACAATGATTTGAGAAGAATTTTCTCCTTGGAATTTTCTTTTCTTTTTTATTTTTTTCCGGTAAATCCCATGCATTTTACTCCCAAAATGAGTATTGATAATCAGTCAATCACGAAAGACAAGTGAAGAACCCACAAAAATAAATCGATGGGGTCATAATTTATTTTAAAATAAATATTAATATTTTAGTAAAAATATAAATTTAATTATTTATTAAATTATATTAAAGGTATAATTTAATAAAATTAAATATTAAAAACAATGCATAAAACATAAAGTTCTAATAAAAATTATCTTAATATATAAAAACTTTTTATATCTATTAGTTTTCATGTTTTTTATTTTTATTATAAGAATTTATTTTTTCCCAAATAATAATAAATAATATATTTCATTAACAATGCTTATTGAAAAATTTAAATGTTCGGACAACAGTAATAGCACATTGTGGAAGATATATGACAAAAATAATAGCAAAAGAAGTTCGGAAGCCCCTTCCACACGTTGTGGGTAATTATATGAGGCTGTCAATAATTAGAATGAACCATATTAATTTTCTAATTCATCATTATCTATTCAATTTCTTTTTTTTTCCTTGCCCTGTTTTCAATTATCATTGAAGCTGAGAGGAAGATGAGAAGAAGCAGAAGGAAGGAGAGGAAGATGGCAATCGATTTTTTTTATTTTTTAAATGTATAAAAATTACATTTTTTACATGAAAAATGCTAAAATATAATCTCTTATGTTTATGTCATAATTTTGTATTGCTCTTATTCATGAGGTGACTAAATATTTGCAGAACAAGGAACTTTTGAGAATAACAGATGACCCATCCATATCAATAAATTAGACGATGGGAACCACTAATACATAATAACGATCATTTGGCTTCAAAAAGAATTCACTAGAGTTTTTAATGTTTTCTTAATTTATACAATATAATTTTCTAAATAAGAAAAAACTTTTTGCAAGAAAATAATTATGGAAGCATAAATAACGAGCAATTTTCTGCAAAACAATTCATGTGATTTGGGTTATGGATAAAGAAATGATTTTTTTTTTCCTACTTGGAAAGCCCACCCCACATGTTAATTATTACTGACTATACATTGTTTTTGTCTTGGTGAGGACTGAACATACATTTATATGTGTGTGTTATATATATATATATATATATATTTGGTGTGTGTATTATAAAGAAACTAGAAAATGCATCACGCTATTCAAGATTGTGAATGGAACAGTTCTTATAGTTTTATTTAGTACATTGAGCATTGATAATTTTAACGTCTTCACAATAACAATGGGGATAAAAGAATTATTTCGGCAAGCTATTTAAATGTTGACGAAATTATTTAAATTTGGCACATTTTTAAAATGAAAATATTTTATATATAATTTGAACATATTTTACAATACATAAAAATATCCTTAAAATAAAAATGGTTGGAGTGCAAGGCAAAAATGAAATTATTGTTCAGATAAAAGGATGCCTTAAAATGATTATTTAGAAGAGTTTTTCTTAGCCTTTTTATGGCATGGACAATTTTGCTTCTTACATTATGAAAAATTAAGCTAACAATTTTTTTTAGAAATTTGTATTTAATTTAAATATAACTGAATATAATCTTAAACAAAATAAATCGAATTTAATTTAGTCTTAAAATTTATGGCAAAAGTGTTGTATAAAAATTAAATAATTTGAAATTCATTCAAAAAGATAATAGTTGAATAATAATTGGGCCATTCATTTATCTCATCAAGCTTTAAACAAACAAAGAAAGAGGAAAATACTTCTTTTGCAACAAAACACTCAAAATTAAAATTTGTATTTTAGATCCAAAAAAAATTAAAATTTGTTGAAATTTTATGATGGGGGTCGTAAATTTTTGTCAAATGAGACCCACAAAGATCCACGAGTGATGACATTATAAATACTATCTTTTATTTCAAGAATTGTATGTCCATCAAAGCGTCCACAATTAAATCAAAATATCTGTGAGCCAAAACAATTGGCTGACATTATCATGGATGATTCCTGCAATATTAATGTTGTGTTTGTTTTGCTTTGGTTGCCCACCTTTTCAAATATTGATTTATGCACTTGCAATAAAAGTGACAGAAAAATAAGGAAAAATGCAATAAAAAAACCCCTAGTCTCATGCAATAAAAATAAGAAAAAAATGACAGAAAAATCTCATTGAAATATGCAAATGATAATGAAATCCTATGAAATACCATAATTCTTCTCAAATCCCTAGTAACTGTTCTGAAATTAATGATTTTTTATAAAATAACTAAAATATCTCTAGTTTAAACTAAAGTAGTAATTGCTTGTTCCATATTAGTTATTGCTAGAAGAAAATTAGTCACAAATATTTATAACACTCAAACTTTAGTAAATAAAAAATTTGCACAAAAGAAGTTGTAATTATTTGTTCTATTCTATTGAATGTCAAAACTAAAATAGTCACTAATATTTATTTTTTTTTAGGCCAGAGCTGTTGCTTTTTTATTTTAAAATGGGGATATTTTAGTGATTTCACCGAAAATCATTAATGTCATGAATGCCTATGAAACTTTAGAAGAATTATGGCATCTCGCGGTACTTCGTTGTCATTCAACTTTGGTCTTTTTTATATAACACCCCGAACCTTGGAAAATTGATTAAAAGCTTCCCTGACCTTTTATTTTTGTACTTAAACATCCCACTGTTGACAGAACCGTTAAATCACTGACTCTCTTTACCATGTCATGCCGAATTCGCCACATAAGTGTATGGCTATTAAATATCTTGTAAAAGATTTTTTTTTATGTTTTCTTTGTACCATATGATTTTTTTTCACAACATAAAAGATTTATATCAGAGCTACGATTATACTGCACCTATTGATTCCTCGAAGCATGTACCATCTGATTTGGGTTTACAATATATTATAATAACTTCAGCATTCTTTTATGCCATATTCAAACAATCAACAAGGATGCCTATATAGGTTTCTGGTTGGTTCCAGAAGGAAAGAGGAAATATAATGCATGAAGAGAGATTGAAAGTTGACTTATACCCATTTTTTATATAATTCTCCCATTTTTTATTGTATCTATATATATCATTGAAAATATTGAAATTATATTGTATTGTGGTACTTAATTATGTTATGTGGGAATTGTATGTAATTCTCCCATTTTTTATTGTGTCTATATATACCATTGAAAAAATATTGAAATTACATTGTATATATATAATAAAAAAAATAAGAACACTTAATAAAACTATTGATTGGGACCTTTTGGTTAATGATATTTTCAAAATTTGGTTGCTGTCGGTTTGTGCGTGTGTGTGTGTATCATTCATTAGGTTGGATCCAACACCAAGCAAGACTCGAGTGCTTCTCATAGGTACGTGTCGAGGGATATCTCAAGCTCTCTCATGTCATGACATCAATTCGACGAATGAATTTAGTGCTAGAAATCCACTCACCACAGAAGAAATAGATGTAACATAGTCAAAGCATTACAATATATACTAGCTAGAATTATTAATAGCTTCTTTTGCCTGGCCTGATAGTTTTTCTTATTATTTAGTGATAATTAATTATTACTTGTTCTGTAAAGCAGGAGGCTCATGGTCATGGCTGCAAATCAACAAGAAGAGCATGAAGTGCAAGAGGATTTCAGATACCAAAAAAGTCGAGACAGTGTTGGCGACGTTCGGACAGCCCTCCTCACCGTCGCCGTTCTGATGGCAACGGCGACGTATCAGGCGGTGCTTAGTCCCCCCGGCGGTCTTTGGCAAGATGACCGTACTACCTATCCCCCTCATGTTGCGGGGGTATCTATTCTCGGTACCAAAAGCAGACCCTCATTTATTATGTTCATATTTGGGAACACTATAAGATTTTATTTCTCAATGTGCACGATTGAGCTCCTCACCCATGGCTTCCCTCTCAAAATTGAGCTGAACTTTGCCATCTTCGCACTTGGGCTTTCTTATCCCGTTTCTGTTTATACTATTACGCCCTCGAATTATCAAACCCCGGGTTTCATCTTCTTAATGGTTGCTATTCCCTTTTTATTAACTCCAGTATCCTGGTTATGGAGAGATCCAAAGTTCCACCAAAAACTAGAAATCTGAACAGTGCCACACTATATTCCTCAATACCATCTCCTGCGCCGTCGTTGCACCGTGCTGCTACAGCTTGAGATGTTATAGGGTTAGGGTATTAGAAGCTCTAGATCTATCCGTTTTCTTATATACTCTTGTTTTAATCTACTGTTTTTCTTTTTTCTTTTTGTTTTGTGTGAGTTACTGAATACCCCCTCCGGTCTTATTTTTAAGATAGAAAGAAAAAATATTTATTTTTAATCCTATTTATAAGTCACGTTATTAAATTTTTACCACGGCAAATTGACATTTATGCTACAAAAAAAAATTTATTTATTCAAATACTGCACTTTTAAAAATATTTCCCTACATACTATATATTTGAAATTCGATTCATATCAAACTAAATTTTAAATTTTTTTTAATCTTGGAGTATAGAACTCGGTCCATGCTAAACCGAGTTCTGTACTTATATATAAAAAAAAAATAAAAGACAAAATGTAGGTTCAGGCTACTTTGCACCCCACTTCCCATCTCTGCACGTTCTCCAATGATAAACATTAATACGTGGTTGTCTCTTTTGCTTTCAGCATATGTTTTTTCTTTCCTTTTTTTTTTCTGGCAAAAGAGGACCCAACAATGTAATTATATATGTGTGTGTGTGTGTGTAATATAAATAATATTTTATGTATCAAAAAATAATATATTATTTTTTTAATTATAATTATAATAATTATATACTTCAAAAATTAGAAAAATTATAAAATAACTACATAATCAATAACAACATAAAATTACTAAATTTAAATCATAATAAATAATTTTAGGGTTAGATTGTTAAAGATCATTTCTCCCTTCACCATTTTTCTAGCAATGTCCTATATAGTGGGGCAATATCATATGTAAATACTTTATTTGTTAAAAAATACAAGGTATTTTTAATCTTTCAAAGTGATTTATTCTTAAAATAAATATAAAGTGATTTATTCAATGAGGGTACTTTTGGTAAGAGATAATGATTATACTTTGAAAGATTAAAAATGCCTTGTATTTTTTAACAGATAAAGTATTTACATATGATATTGCCCCACCGTATAGGACGTTGCTAGAAAAACAATGAAGGAAGAAATGATCTTTAACAATCTAACCCTAAAATTATTTATTATGATTTAAATTTATGTAATTTTATGTTGTTATTGATTATGTAGTTATTTTATAATTTTTATAATTTTTGAAGTATATAATTATTATAATTATAATTAAAATAAAAAATAATATATTATTTTTTATACATAAAATATTATTTATATTATATATACATACATACATACATATATATATATATATAATTACATTGTTGGGTCCTCTTTTGCCAAAAAAAAAAAAAGAGGAAAGAACAAACATATGCTAAAAGCAAAAGAAACAACCACATATTAATGTTTATCATTGGAGAACGTGCAGAGACAGGGGAAGTGAGGTGCAAAGTAGCCTAAACTTACATTTTGTCTTTTATTTTTTTATATATATAAGTACAGAAAGTAGTTTAGCATGGATCGAGTTCTATACAGGAAGATTAAAAAAAATTTGAAATTTTGTTTGATATGAACTGAGTTTCAAATTTATAGTATGTAGGGAAATATTTTTAAAAGTGCAGTATTTGGGTAAATAATTTATTTTTGTAGCATAAGCATCAATTTGCCTTTTATCACAAATATTTTCTTTTACCCTCCATTGAGTGTTGAGGAGAGAAAATATGTTAGTGAAGTCTGTATATTTAATATAGATAAAGTTAAAAACTTATTAAATTTTAAAATAGAGTTAATGAGTTTTAAAGTTTTTCTTAGTACTGATGAAATATGTTAGAAATGACTTATAAATAAAACTAAATAAATACAGTTGAAACATGAAAGTTGCTTCCGTGTTAGATCCTAAGCAAGCACGTGCGCTAGATACTGATGTAATCAAACTTGTCTGTGAGTTTACGTTAAAGTCATGAGTGAGTTTTATGAATAAAGTGATTTTGTTCTCCGCAAAATGAACCGGATATAACATGCCATATCATGTTTGTTTCTTTAGCTAGCCTTTTACCAATTGTGACAGTGTAAGTTCTTTTTTACCATTGACATGCTATACTTGATTGAGGAAACCATACTCTATCTATGGAGCTTTCCAATTTCCATTGTGAATTCGTAATATACAGGTTAATAAACGCATCAAAGAAACAAACCAGAAAGTAACATTCATTTAATACATTTTAGAATCTTATTTCTCCAAAAAGAAATAGTCATATTTCCACTTGCCCTAGGCATAGAAAAAAAATCATTTGCCTCCTTAGAACTTTTCACTCCTCTCTCTAAAATTCATTGGACCTAGAAACTTATATATATATATATATATATATATGTATGTATGTATGTATGTATAATAACCTTAAATAAAAATGGTTTTAGAATGAAGGAATCAATAATTTGAAAAATAACTTTCTCTAATTGTTTAGATAAAAAAATTGGGAATGACAATTAGGGACTAGATTTGTAAGAACATTAATGATAATTATAGACATTAAATTACTAAAATTCTGAAAAAAATACTGTAGTCCTTACTTGTAATTAAAAAATATAAATGTTCAGTCAGGAAATCAACTAACTACACTTAGAACTATTTATAATATCAATTGAGAATATTTAAAGTTAGTTGAGAATCTCACTTTTTTACTATTAATATACAAATAAACCACTTGGGAGATCAAGTAAATATCTTGGAATTATTTGAAAATTTACAAAAGTTAATTATGAATCGCAAGCCAATTTTTGATATTTTTTGCTTTTAATATATAGATAAATCACTTAAAAAATTTATTAAATATATTTGAAATCATTTGTAATGCCAGTTAATTGGGAATTTATCAAAGTTAGTTGTGAATTGCTAGAAAATTAATTATGATTTTTTGCGATCACTTGAAAAATTAACAAAAGGTAATTAACAATCTTTGTAGCATTAGTTAGGAATTTACTGAGGTTCATTGTGAATCTCAACTTAATTAACAAATGATAATTTAGTATAAATAAGAACCATGGTTTGCTAGGCTCTATAATTGTCATTAATGTTCTTATAAGTCCATAATTGTTATTTTCCCTAAAAATTTTGCAAAAAAATTTCTATACTATAAAAAAGAAAGTATTATAATTTATCTATGTTCATATCACTTTTCTAATGTTTAGAGATGTAAAATCATATACAAAAATTTTGTAATTAAGTAATTTAATTATGATGAATGGAACTTTTACATTCCTTTTATTATGAAGGCTGGCTGCAGTCGCAAATGCTGTCACAAATAGTGCTTTAGATGGAACTTCTGCCCTAAAACTAGGGCAAAATTCGTCTCAAAACAAGTGTTTTTTATTTTTTATTTTTTTTTGTAGTGAGCGACTACGCTATAGGCTTTTTTTTTTTTTTTTTTACCTGGACTATGCAATAGGCTTGGGCAACATAACAATATTGTTTTTCAAAGAGAAAATGATGATAGCCATGAAACTGATTAAATTGAGGGAGAGATGATAATTGTTAGATGCCAACAAAATGATCCCCTTCATCTTATTTATTGTGGTTGCATGTGAACGTTACCTCGCTACATGGCTAATTTGGGGTGGAAGCCGGGTATAGATAGTGGCGGCCAAATTTAATAAATATATATATATATAGCTTTTTATTTTTTAATAATTAAAATAATTAATTTTATAAGTTAATAATACTTTATAATTCTCTATAATATTTTTAAATAATAAAAGTAATTAAAGTGAAGTCATTTATTTATTATATTAATTTTTTAAAAATGAAGAATAAATAAAAATTTAAAATTTATAAAGCTCTAGTATGTATATAAGTGAGTTTTGAGAATATTTTAAAATGGGATAGGGGCAAAAATGCCATTTCCCATGGCCTCTAGAAGGCCTGACCCCTTGTATATCAAGAGGTGGATAGGTTTTGTAAGGTGAGAGAGAGGCCCCCCCCAACATATATCACGGCCCGTCCCTTTGGCTAATTGATATTGGGAAATAAGAATTATAGATGTATTGTAAAATCTCATAATTTATTTAATTAAATTAAAAATTAAATACATTATTAGAAGATTTACGAAACTTTTGAAAATTGCGTTCAATAAGACTACAATTTAGTCTCTTACAACAATTACTTGTTCAGCTGTAGAAGTGAAAATCACTACAAAAAGTTTTGCAAATATTATAAGTGAAAATCATCTGAGAATAGTTTCACAAATTAATCCCTCTATGGTTTTTTTAAGGAGGACACGAAATCACTTCAATTTTCTGTTTTTGTTTAAACTCCATCTTCTCTTCTCCTAGGATTTGGCCTAAGAGGTTTAACAGTCCTGTCACAAGGAATTTGATGAGCAAATTTCATCAATGTATATGATGTATTTAAAATGCTTTCTCCACCTTATTCTTCAGATCAAGATCTATGCTTGAATCATGAGTTTGATGAATGGATTGTCTTGAATCTGACTGGTTCTTCAAGCTTTTCTCCACCTTGTTAAGGGAGTAGAATGAAGTTTGTTTATGAAATTTAGAGACATTTAATTGGTGGGATTATTAGAAATTCTAAATCTTGCTTTCAATACTAGAGAATGTATTGGAATCTAACTTGTGAAGGTTGATTCTTGACTTGATAACTTTGTGTAATTGCTATGGGTAGTTCTAAAATGCCTCTTGGAACAAGAATATGTGATTGGATTGGGAGTTTTGGTAATTTTGAAACAATTTTTTGGGATTTCTTTTTTGCTTGAGTAATTGAGAATTCATTTGATTGGAATCTTTCGGTCATTTGATTCTTTGAATGATGATTATATAGTATATGAAGCTTCATGTTGACTAGATTTGATTTAATTTATTATTTTGAACTCAAGATTCTTACTATGAGAGGGGCTTTTACAAGTAATTTATAAAATTTCTCTAAATGGCAGAAATTGCTGATATTATTGGATTTGAGACTTCAATTGCATGGTTTTGATTTGA